AAGACCTTTTAATTTCACCTTTTATTACGATCTTTCAATCTATTAATTCTATTATATATGCGTTTATTATATTTTTCCCTTAACCATTAAATCCGTCCCCACTTCTATATATTCTATTAATTTCGTTCTTACCTTTGTCATTCCTTATTTTATTATTAATTTATCCTATTCTTGTTATTCCTTATTTAATTATTACTTTTATCCTACTTTTGTCATTTCTTAATTCCAAATCTACCAAAGTATGGTACATGGGTTACTCGAGCATTGACCTCCACGTGGTGTGACCTGGATAACTAACCAACAAATGCTTATTTTTATTTTTGCACATTTTAATAAATTTTAATTTAACGTATTCTGATTTGTTGATAAATGCATGTCGTGAATAGCGAAGTATCCTAAATCAAGATTAGCAAAATAACTTTATCTTTTTTATCAGAAAATTAACACTAGACTAAAGCTTTGTTTGCTTAAATGAGTAAATTTCTCTGTGTTCTGTATTGTATCCTGTACTTTATTTTATTTTTATATCAATAAAGCGGTCAATTTCGCATACATAATCGTGTTTACTTTTTGCATATGTATTTTGGAATTTTATTGTATTGTACTGTCACCGATGAACATATATGATTGAGAATTTTCTTAGTAAATTGAATGACCCGAGGTCTGTGAAATTTCTTGACAATTTGATTTTTGTTTTAACTCGAAAATTTAAATAAATAATATCTTATATGAAACAATGGCAAATATACAATCCAAAATTAATTCGTTATAAGAACAGAATTCCAAGCTTGTAGCTAAGATTACTGGACTTAAAAGGGAGAAGGCTGAATTCTTAGCTAAGGAAGCGGGATTTATGACTAGAATCATGGAACTAGAACAAAATGCTGAAAAAGTGAAGATAAGAGATAATGAGCTTAGTACTAGAATTGTGGAGTTAGAACGGTCAGCAAAAGAAAGTAAAAAATAATTTGCGAAATTAGAACAGAAGCAGACCCAGGTTATCACTAATGAACAGAAAGTATCCCCTGCAAAAGATATTTTACCACTTATCAAAGATCAGTCTGGTAAAGATAATAGTATGATTCTCGACCCATGCCTGAACTAGTACAATCTTCAATGGAGCCTGAATTTCCTGCAACCTTTTTGCCACAAGACCAAGACATAATCGATGACGATTTAGCTGAGACTCTAGATTTTTTAGAAATGGTACATAAGGAACGGGTTAGTAAAGAGATAATGGAGAGAATTAGGGAAAAGAAATTCCGGGAACAAAACTTATCTTCAGATAATACTTCACTAGGAGAGGTGATACCTGAGGTATCGGTTCCTTCAACTTCGATATCCAGAAACACTAAACTCGGAAAGTCTGAAATTTCAGCTGGGGCTCCCCTGCCAAAAAATAGTCATAGGAAAAAAGGAGCAGAGAATATTTCTCAAATGATATCTGATGGTATTCGAGATAATACTTACCCTCAGAATTCAATTTCTGATATATCTAATGATCTTTTATTACAACAAAATCAAATTTCTTCTTTAGTACTAATGCTTACTTTAGCTCAATTATTTGATAAAGCAACCATTGCTGAATATAGTGCTATTTGTGCTAACCAAGAAGAAATTTTATGCTGGTATTATTACGGAAAAGAATTTATAATTCAGTACAAAGATATAATAAAAAATAGCAATGGTAAAATTGGCGAGAAAAAAGCCAAAGGTATAGTTTATTATAAAATGTTAGAACAACTTTCTATCGTCCGTAAAAAGAGATCCGAAGATACAGGCTTTCATCTCCCAGAAATATCACGCAAATACTTACAAGGAAAAACCCAAAAAGCTGTAAAAATATATAATTTATTTGAAAAAATAGGCATAGATAAAATTAAGTATATCAAAATATACAGTGCAAATGCCATATCGGAATTAACTAATGACAAAATACAAACTATTATAAACCATTTCTCCAAGAATACTGATACCGATTTACCAGACAGTTCTATTGATAATTCCTTGAATGAATCACTAAAAGCTGAGGAAAGTATACCTACTGAATCTCAAATTTCTGTTTCTTCTAGCTCAGAAACATCTGCCCCCTCTATCCAATCAT